TGCAGCCCCCTAGCCAGAAGGGTCTTCAAGATCCACCACAAGCTGCCACGTGGCACTGCAGAGAGGCAGCACGTGCCAGCCACGTGCGCAGGCGGCAGCAACCACCACCCGCCGTCGAGGGGGGGGGAGCAAATAGTTGTTGTGCCACCTCTTCAACAGCAACAAGTAATAGTATCAGCTCATACTGTGGCTTTGGCCAGTGTGTTAAGGCATTGGCCGTGCACGCGCACGAGCAGCACCTGCTCAGGTTCAAGCCCTGGCAGCTGTAGCATCCCGGATCTTGAAAAATAATAATTCGGGAGCGGGGCGAGGCGGGGCGGCGGTGGGCATGTGGCGCGCGTGCGGCGGCCTTAGCCTCAGCGCTTGCATGTAAGTGTCGTGACGGCAGCTCCCTTTTTTCGCCATGTGTCAGCCTTTTTACGCTCCCGCTTTTGACCATTATTTCGCTGTTTCCGCCCTGTAAAAACCTTGAAAATCCCGCTATTGGGATTACACCGATTTCTCCCTTTTAAGGGACGGTGGGCGGGTTGGAGCGAGGACCGTTCCCACTCTGATGCCAGTGTGACGGAACCGTTGGGATGGTGGTCCGTGAGGATCGAGAAGAAGGGTTGACAAAGGAGGAGGTAGAGATGGAGCTGGAAGGGACACCGCAACTCCGACGCAGACTCAACACACATGTACTCTAAGATGTGCAAAAGTGAAGAGTGCTGAAATACAGACTGCCTATGTAACCAGGTGAACGCGCTGAGTATGCGTTCATACCCCCTGGGGCCATGTTAAATCGCGTTCAAACATGCTGCGCGCCACGTGGCGCGAAAAAATTGAACGCGACCGGGGGGGGCGCGTGTGCGCGTCGCAGACTACGGGGTGGTGAGCCTCGTTCATTGAACCCCAAAACTGCAAAAAAAACAACCCTACTGCGTCACCCCCCGCCATATGTGAAGGGTCCTTCTTTTTTTTGGGACGGGGAAGGGGAATCCCCCTAACACGGCTCAGACGGCCCCAAAACTGCAATAAAACCCCCCTACCACATCACCCCCCGCCATACGTGAAGGGTCTTGTTTTTGGGGGGGGTGCGGTGGGGGAATCCCCCTAGCACGGCTCAGACGGCCCATGCAAGCTATCTGAATGGTCCTCACAGCCATGCAGAGCATACCCCCCCAACAAAATCAAGGCAGGTAGTGAATATGATGTAGAGCACGAGCTGACCGAATATATACTCAAGATTCGAATTCAGGTCTGTGTTTCAACAGTTATGGGTTGCTCACGTAGCTAGGCCGTGTTGGTCTCTGCACGTGATTCTCAGGGCTTGGTTGCACTACTCACCAGAAGTGCAAAACTAGAATGAATCTTTTGCAGAATATGGAATAATACATCACCATATGTTTTGTCTTTTGTGCATGTGGTGAGCCGAGGCCCTTAAGGCCACTGCACGTATTCCTAAGAAAAGAAAAACGAGAAAAAAGAAAAACGAGAAAAAAAAAAAACGAAAAAAAAAAAAAAAAAAAAAAAAAAAAAAAAAAAAAAAACATATGGCGGCGTATTATTCCATGCTCTGCAGAAGATTAATTCTAGTTTTGCACATTTGGTGAGTAGTGCAACCAAGCCCTGAGAATTACGTGTAGAGACCAACACGATTATGAGAGTAACGATACAGATATCACGCAATGCGACGATACATGCAGCATGGTAGTTCATAGACATGAACCGAGAGACAAAATACCATATTCATTCAATACAACACGAGTTGCCTTGAAATTCACGAAAAGGAACAATATGCACGAACAAGGCGTTTAGTGGCTCCCCGACGCCGCGTTTCGGCTATTGCCTGACCCAGCCTTCCGCAGGGGGATTCGTGCTGATTGAAGAGGTCCTACTCTATGAAATGCAAACTATTAATAGTATCAAGTAACAACCCTACCTAGGGACTAATTGCCCGCACCTACGTAGAGGCTCACCGTCTGATGCCTAACAACAACTTAAAACTAAAGGGTCCGACAAGACAGAACCCGTCCAGTTCAGGCCCCAACCTAAGTTTCCAAGGCCTAAAGAGGGACAGCAAAAGACAAAAAATCAGAAACTCACTCATTACCTAAGCAAAGTCTATTATCTAGGGCCAATAGCAACAAAAACGTTTGTACCCCAAAGCATGATCCAAAAACTTACCAAAAAAGTGGATAAAACAAAAAACAAAAGGTCATAGGTCCCAAATTTCTTCAAAGGTCCGTCTGCAAGACCAAACGCTCCGCCTCCGCCTAACCAGGGGCGCATCTCCTGACGAACCGGCCCAGAGTCTGATGGACAGTGGCGGCCGGGTAGTTCTGCATCCTCAATTCTCTTTTCAGAGTTAGCAGACATTCAACTACCCGGTCGTCCGCTGAGGTGCACTCCTTCATTTTATATAACATACCATTAATCAAGGTTCTCTTCTGCTTCTGGCTGGTGTACGACCTGTAGTCTTGAAAAAATTTATACAACAATTCATTTCCATCACTCCAGATTTGCTCGAAATTTTTTCGCCCTGTACCAGCACACCACCTTCCTTCCTTTGATCCTCACTTTACATCCTAAGAATCCTCATTCACCCAACCCATCGCCCGTCCTTTTCAGGGTCAAATTCTAATCGTAGGAGGCTTCAAATTTTCGAATTATCTCATCAACATCTTTTGTCCCTTTCCTACTCCAGTTCTTCCTGACGAACAGAGTGACGTCGTCGACCAATCTTATTCCATGAATCATCCCCACATCTTTTCCCAGACTCGACAAAAATTCAAATACACAAAAGACACACAAAATGCATGCAATAGGTGGGCTACTCGATTTACCCATCGAAATTCCCTCCTTCTGCTCAACTAGCCTTTCCGATGCCCAAAGGTAGCAGTGTTCCAGATCAAAATCAACCATCCTCCTTATCAACTCAAACTTCACTTTTACCCAACCTGGTTCCTCTCGTTTGATTCCAAAAGATGCCCCTTTTCCTCTCGTCCTGACCATTACGAAGCTTGTTCCTTTCTATTCACAGTTTTGAAGGATCCAGTCTATTGCTCTTTTAATGGACTCATGAGGCAGTTTGCTAAACATCTCTTTGATGTCATACACAAATCCCACGAGTTCACCTCTCCCTTTTCTGTTCGCCCATTTGTTGACTTCTTTAAGCTTCTTCTTCAGTAGATTTCTTGACTTTAAGTTAAACTGCTCGTTTTTCGGCAAATTGAACAATAGAAAGTTCAGTGCCCTAGCTGTCCTTTGGTTGGCAGCCTTCGTGGGTTCAGAAAAGGAAGGAGATTTAGGACGAAACAACTGAGGGTCTTTATGTTTTGGTAACACGTATGATTTTCCCCAGGTTCCATTATTATCCCATTTTCCCACCTCATCCAATCCCTTTGAGGCGAACTCTTTCTTTGCTCGTGCCAACGTTTCCTCCTCCTTTCTCCACACCACCTCAAATGCTGGGTTCTCCCAGAACATTCGTTGCATCCCTTCTACGTACGTGACTGGACACAGAACCAGAGTCTCAGTCGGATTCTTGTCCATTGGGCACATCATCAGTCCTTCCCACCTCTACTTAACTTCCAACGCCTTATCCACCAGGTTATTCTTCATGGTCGCTTTCTTCCGGACGCAGCTTCTGGCTTGCTGCAATGTCCATCTGGAATCGATCCCTACCTTCACCATCTCGGTGTTGAGTTCCTTACACAACAACACATCATCATGCGTACCGTCAACGCCGTGGACTACATTTTTTGCATTCTTCAGACGTCCGTCAATATCATTTCTTCCGCTGAGGCGAAAGGCAACGTGTCCTCCCTGATTTGGGAGGTCAACATCTGCACAGTGGCAGATTGCAGCCAACAAGCGACTGTAGTGCCTGTGGTTGTGGAGAAGGCTACCGACCGTCTGATTTTTCCTCCAGACTAGTCGTAGCTTCAGACAATGCAGCCTCGCAACCTTTGGAGAACCATATTGCGAACTAATCTTCTCAACTGCTATTCTTCTAACCGTCGCCCTTGAAATTCTTTCATCATACTTCACCCCAATCACAATTCTTCTACGAACACTGACACCGAACTGCTTTTTCACCGCTCCATCCACAATTTCCCTGAGAGTCTTTCTCGTATCCTTTCTTGAGAGACTCCCAATACTACTGTACAGGTCGGCTAATTGATCATCATTCAGGTTGAACTTCCTCAGCTCCTTCCTCGATCAAGGTTGTTTTAAGAATTTATGTGACAGCCTTCTAAGCTTCGGATCACCAGGCACCTCCTCCCGTACTCTGGTAAATCTGATACACCCTCCCTCCTCGAAAGATCGCTTAGCCTTCCTTAGTCTAGATTTCTCTCCGTTCACTATAACCTCCGACTCTCCAAACCTTCTTCGAACTACGCTCCAGTCTTCAGCCTAGATTTTTCCTCCAAATGAGGTTACATTTCTGTCCTTCTTCCCTTCAATCCAAGATATTGCCTCCGTCAGCTTCGTGTTTTTTTTTCCCTCCGTGCAAGCAAAGCGTACCACTTGTTCGCCCTTGAAAAACGTCATCCTACTATTTTTCCTTTCTTGCCTCCCTTTCCTCTTCTTTTTCTTCCTATTTCTCCGATCCTTCCATCCATTGACGTTCAATACTGGGGACCATCGCTTAATAAGTCTCTGTTCTACGCTCAACTTCTCCTCCTTCTCAGTGATAGCGATGGGTAGTGCAACGTACGATTCCCAACCCCATTTTCGTAACCATGAATAAAGCTTATTATTCCTATGCTCGTCTCTTGCTTGAGTACGTCCCACGTGTTCAGCCCATCGCTCACTCAGTAGTCGTTTGGTTTTTCCAATGTATATCAGCCTACAACAGGGATCTATAAGAACGTAAGCACACGGGCTAGGGTCATCCCATCTCTCACGATCTTTTTCAAAAATCTCCCACAAACATTCCACAAACCTTCTTCCCCATGGGATCTCGTTCTCGAGAATGAGTAAGAAAACTATGTTTCGAAGAATCCTATCGACTAAGACTCTTACCCCCTTTGTTTTGCGTTCAAGCTTACACCACTTATGGCAGTCTAAGAATTTACATAGCAGTTCCCATGTGTCCGACCTACTCTGTCGGGTCCTTGTGAGAGTCTTGCAACTCACCCCTCATTTGTTCCTCATCGCTTGGTTTCTCTTATGTAGAGCCTGCATGGTTCCTTTCCCTAAAGTAGTAGGTGACACGGAGTTCGGCTAAGATATCTACCCCGTCGTTCACACCGTAATACTGCAAGCCGGCGCCCCTACACATCGCCTTCAAGGTGTCAGGGTAGAAGGATGCTAAAGTTTTTCTTACCGCTTTTCTGAACGCAGCCTCTGTTGCAAACTTCGCGCCCGTAGGTACCCCTTCCCACGGGTCTTCGCCACGATCAAGCCTTGAGGCTTGTGCTTCAACCTTCGTTGGTCTCCCCCTTCCCTTTCTCTTCTCGCTGGCAGGGGTCTCAACTTTATCTTCTCCCCTTCCCACCTTCAACGGTGTTACCACCGGGGGACTGTTCGCCACTTCTCCTGTAGAGTCCCGTCTCTTGCGCTTATCTTTGAGAGGTGTCTCCTTCTCCGTTTCTTCCTCCGAAGAGTCCATAGGTTCTTCTATCTCCACTTTTCCTTTCTTCTTGTGTTTGCTAAGCTCCACAATCTTGAGCTTTTGATCCACGATGTCCTCCAGTCGTTCTTCGAATTCTTCGCGTTGTTCTGCCAAAATCTTGTTCAATTCCCATTTTCTTTTTTGCTCCTTGTATGCCTCCTCCTGCTTTTTTATCAACTCAATCCGAGTTTCCTCTTCCTTTGCAACCTTTCCCTCCGGTTTCCTCCTTTTCCTCTCCTCCGCCTCCTTGGCTTCTTTCTTCTAGTTGAGAAAGTGTTTCGCCATCTTTCCCACAACACTTAAGGATTCCTCCAATTTTTTACTCAGGGCTACTCCCCCTCCGCCTCCACCTCCTGCCTTCGGGCATTGGCTCTTGTAGTGCCCTTCCTCTCCGCATCCGTAGTAGGTAGTTGGCCTTCCTCCACCCGACCTTCTACCGTAGTTATCTGTTGACCAGCTCCTTCGCTCATCGTGCCTCCCTCTTCTATCCACTCGACCACGCTCGCGTGTATGATCGCCTTTACTCTCCCAGCCTCCACTATCGTATCCTCGATAGAGTTCTCGTTCACCTCTTCTTGCTGTAGTCAAGCTCTTGCAGACAAATCCGTCACCACCAGTACAATTTTCAACCGGTCTTGCTGGCGTGGCTTCACAATTCCTATGTCTTCAGGTCTTCAGTTTGAACTTCTTCAGCCTCGACTGTAGCGGACCCACCAGGTGTGGTGCTCCGCTAGTGGTAGAGATGGAGATGGGGGAAGAGGGAGGAGCAAGATGATGCACAGCGCAACTCCCACGTAGGACTCCAACTCACGTACTCCAAAATGTGCAAGTGAAGAATGCTACGGAAAACAGACAATGGCTGGGGTATACCCCAGCGGAGTGAGGGACTGGAATGAGCTGGCTGGTACCGACAGAGGTACTGGCCAGGACTGGCCTACCCCGAATACAACACAGGCCTGTGAGAACAGGCCAAGGGGCTGGTCTCACAGGCCAACCCGAGGTCCGCTACACGATCCTCGACCTGTGATGGATCGCCTAGATACAAACATGCTTCCGCTAAGAAGCGGAACTCTACCAAAGAAAAAAAAACCTGAGTAGTCTAGGATGCGGAGCAAGCTCCATGCTGAGTCCATGCGATGCAACCTAGGATATAAAATGTCACAAAATAGCAATGTCGCAGCTAACAGCCTAAGTGAAAGCAGAAGCAACTAACTAACATACATGTCCTAGGAAAGCAAAAGCATCTAATTAGCATACATATCCTAGGAAAGCAGAAAGTAGTGACAACTAGATCCTAGAATGTTGGAGGCACTAGCCTCAGTCTAGTTAATAACTGACTCGTGTATAAGTCCTAAGAACAGCAAAAGCAGAACAACTAAATCCTAGAAATGTCGGAGGCAGTAGCCTCAGTCTGAGAGCAACAAAGCAATCAACAAGACAACCATATGTCACATGAGAAGTGTGTCGCAAACCAAAGGGTGGGATGGTCTATGAGGGTGGCGAATGCAGCCTAAGGGTCGAAAACTCCTAAGGGCATCCACACATAGTGACAGGGAAAACACATGTCATCAGGCTCAATAAGGGTAGGGAACTGGGAGCGAACAAAACCAATGACCCTAACAGATAGACCATCAGGGCGGGTAATGCTCGACTAAGGGGTGACCGCTATGGAGGGTCGACCATGCAAGGGAACAAGGGAGCCTGGTATAGTGGGCGCACCTAGATGAAGCATGCGGGGCTGCCTAACTAGGGCGGGAGGGCCTGCGAAGGGTAGAAAGATGATAGGTAAGGGAATCATGCAAATGACTCCTAAAGTGAGGGAGGTCGGAGCTAGATCCGTAAGATGGGAAGCCAGGGCAACGCTACAGTCCCGATGCCTATGTGTATACCAAGGGAGAGCCCAACTCAGAGGAACCCAGCTAAAGGGAGACCATCATGCGACACAAGCAGGGTACTGTACAAGGTAGAGTGGTAAGAGCGTGACGACGTCTGAAGTAGGCAGAGCTGATCGTGATGAAGTCCAAGAAGTTGCCGATGACATCCACGATGAGAAGTCCGGAATGCCGTCGAGGAAGAGCCGCAGCGTCGACGAGCTGAAGTAGCAAAACTGATGTGGATGGAGTACTGAGAAGTCAAAAACGTGGGAAGGTAAGTCAGAGTCAATCGTCGTATCGAGAAGGACGACGACGAGTGCGCTATGGACGCTCAGAAGCATCCGACTACTGCTGAAGGTCTGCCTCAGATGGAGCAGGCTCGACTTCAGCGGTCTCCTCAGTCGGGGGAGAAGAAGGAGGGTCAGTGGGCTGAGGAGCAGCAGCGAACCCGGCACGACGAGCATGGTCATAAGCACGCACCAACATGCGAGCGTGCTGCAAGTGCTCGATGGGCTCCTAGGTAGCCTCCTCATCAGGGTAACCCTTCCAACGTACGAGGTACTCTACGTGGGGAGGGTTGTCGTCGGTCACTCTGCGACCAATGATGTCTGAAACAAGGAACTCCTCGTGGCCGTCAACCATGATGGGTGGAGGGCGCTCGTATGGTCGTCCAGCGAAACGCTCAGACGGTCTGTGGTAAGGACGCAGTAACGAGACGTGGTAGACATCATGCACACGAGCCTGGCGTAGGTTGTCGGGCAGCTTCACACGAAAGCTGACCGGGCTAGATGTCGTATCAGAACCGACGGCCGGGAGGATGCGGCATGGGCCAAAGAAGCGACGCCGAAACTTGCGAAGCGTGTCCGCTTTTAGCTGTAAGTGGCGGGCGTCGATAAGCTCATCATCACCGACCTTGAATGGGTGATCCATCCTCGATTGGTTCGCACGTGCTGCCATGCAAGTCTGGGAAGCGGCTATGTGCTCATGTGCGGTCTTCATGATCGACGTCATGTGTGCAACCCAATCGTCCAGCGCGCGACAACTCGTGTCGAGGTGCAACTGGGATGGTCGAAGGAAGTCCGCGGGAACACAAGGGTGGTAGCCGAGGTCGCAGTAGTAAGGCGACATCCCCGTGGCTGGCGAGACGGCGTGGTTGTAGGCTATCTTCGCGTGGGCAAGATGAAGATCCCACTGCTGGTCGTCATGAACAATCTTTCGAAGAATATCTCCGAGAGTCCTGTTTGTGATCTCGGTATGACCATCAGTCTGAGGATGGTAAGACGAGGAGAAGCGGAGCAAAGTGTCGTATACCTCGTGGAGCCGTCGCCAGAATCGGCTGGTAAAGCGCGGGTCACGGTCAGATATGATGCTCAGAGGTAAGCCGTGGTCACGTACGACTCGGTCAAACACGATGTCGGCGACCTCGCGTGCACTGATGGCATAGCGGCACGGAACAAAGSGTGCAYGCTTCGTGAAGCGGTCGAYGACGACYAGGATAGCATCRTGACCGCGAGGGGTCGGAGGACGAAGGGGACCGATAAAGTCCATCGAGATGGACTGCCAACGACCCTCAGGGATARGAAGAGGCTGGAGCAAACCATAAGGTAAGTGGTTCGCACTGTTCACCTCCTGACAGGTGGGACACTCTGCGACGTAGTCCTTTACAAAGTCCTTGCGCTTCGGCCAGACGTACACGCGGCTCACACGAGCCAACGTCTTGTGGAAGCCCATATGACCGGCAGCTGCCTGGTCATGAAACTCTGCTACTGCTCGGACCCTTAGCTGTCCAGTGGAGGGAACGCAAATACGGGGCTCTCTAGTGCCCTGTGAACCGTGCCAGTACACAAGACCGTTGTCCCCGAGAGAGTAGTTCGGGACAGTCTTGCCACTCCGAAGGGTCGCATGGATATCGCGATAGTCGGGGCAGTGGCGGTACTGAGTGCGAAACTCGTTGATCACCGAGTGGTGGACGATGGTGACCGGGATGGAAGAGAGCAGGATGTGCTCCTGGTCGTGGTCAGGGCACCGGGAGAGGGCATCTGCGACCCGATTAGTCTCTCCCTTGATGTGCTCAGTGGTGAAACTAAACTCGGATAGGTCGCTACACCAGCGAGCCTGTTGAGGAGTGAGCTTCGGCTTTGTCAGAAAARCCTGGACAACAGAGTTGTCCGTGCGCACCGTGAATGGTGCCCCGTGCAGGTAGTGACGCGAGTGTCGAGCGGTATAAACTACTGCGAGAACCTCACGTTCATCAGCAGTGTAGTTTATCTCGGCAGGCAGGAGCTTACGGGAGTAGAAGGCTATCGGACAATCACATGAGCGAGTCTCGAAAGTGCCGTCCTCGGCGATGGTAGGAGAATAGTCAATAGAAGGCTCGTCAGTAGCTGGACGAGTAGGCGTCAGTCGGGAAGCAGTGGTAGGGGTAGGTGGTGGGAAGCGAGGGATAAGAGGATGAGAGGAATCAGGAGAGGAGGGGAAGACCTGAGAAAGCACTGCTCCTACAGCGAAGTCTGACGCATCGGTGGTAAGGATAAAAGGGCGGTCAAAATCGGGTAGGTGAAGAACCGGTGCGCATGTCACCGCCTTCTTGAGGGCGCGGAAGGCGTCCTCGTGAAGGGGTGTCCAAGCCCAGGGTGGGTTCTTCCGGAGGAGGGTGGAGGTAAGGACGTAGGAATACCTAGCGTATCCCCGGATGAAGTTACTGTAGTAGCTGGTCAGGCCTAGGAAGCTGCGAAGCTGCTTGGCGGATGTGGGAGCGGRCCACTCCGCAATAGCAGTGATCTTCGCGTCGTCCATGTGGACACCCTGGTCAGACACGTAGTGTCCTAAGAAATCCACTTTGTGCTGGGCAAAGCGGCACTTGCTCAGCTTGGCGTAGAAGCCATGTCTGCGCAAGCGGTCAAGAACGTCACGGAGATGTCTGAGGTCCTCATCAAGGGTACGACTAAAGACCAGGATATCGTCGAGGTAGAGGAGAACGTACTGCTCTAGGATGTCCCTAAAGGTTTCGTTCATCGCCCTCTGAAAGGTAGCGGGAGCATTAGTGAGGCCGAATGGCATCACCGTGAACTCATAGTGGCCGAATCGCGATCAGAACGCGGTCTTCGGCTGGTCGGCTGCAGCGACGCGTATCTGATGGTAACCGCTACGAAGATCAATCTTCGTAAACAAGCGGTTGCCTGCTAGGCGATCGAACAGCTCGTCGAAACGAGGCATGGGGTAACTGTTCTTAACCGCGTAGCGGTTGAGACCGCGATAGTCGATGCAGAGACGGAGAGTTCCATCCGCTTTGCGAGCAAAGAGGACGGGTGCACCGCACGGGGAGTTGCTGGGTTTAATGAAACCCAGTCTCAGGAGCTCCTCAAGCTGACGCTTGAGTTCGGTGGCCTCGTGGATCGAGAGTCTGTAGGGTGCCTGGTGGTGAACACGATAGTCGGGCACAAGCTGAATGGAGTGCTCGACGTCACGCATCGTTGGGATGCCGGCGTATGAGAACGACGATGGGAAAACGTCGTGGTACTCTCGGATGAGGTTACGAACTGCGGGCTCCAGGTCAGTCGTGTATCGTGCAAGTTCCTCAGCGTCAGCGTCGGCGCGCGATGGCGGGGTGGACTCGACGGATGGCAGAGGGACGAAAGTAGAGATGGGAGCCATAGAGATAGAGGGAGGATCTGGCTCCAGAGGGATGAGCTTGGTGTCGGGAGAGGGTGGATCATAGTGTAAGAGATCCGTCACGTTCACCATAAAGAAGGTGACGTCGTCCTGTCGAATGAAGTCGAACCGCCGAGGCGAGGTGACAGTGATAGAGGGAGATGGTATGGGCACTGAAGGCTCCGGGGGAGGAGGATCGGGGCCTGGTGTCACCGTGATACCTATGAAAGCTACGCGATATGTCTGTCCACTCTTCGTTTTAAGAATGAGAGTGTTGGTCGCCCAATCGGCCTCGGTGCTGCGGAACCGACGAGACCACGGAGTGCCGAGAATGAAGTCGTACCCCGTCTCCATCATATCGAAATGTGCAGAGGAGTGGTGGCGACGAAACGCCGGGGAGCGATCAGTCGGCTCGAGAGTGAGGAAGAAGGGGAGGTCGGTGACCGTCTGATCGAAGAAGCGCTGGGTCTTGTCATCCCCTAACAGAGATGGGAGTCGAAGACCCTGTCGTGGGTAAGCGGGCTTCCTTCACCACGCGTGGGTGAATGAAGTCGCCCTGAGAACCGGAATCCCACAGCGCTGAGTACACCCTCGTGGAGGTCCCGAGTCGTACTGGGATGATCGGGAGGGTGCGATCAGGTTCAGAGAAGATGGCGAGAAGGCGACGCAGTGCAGCGACATGGAGGGTGAGTCGCTCCTGACGAGCCTGGAGCATGCTCAAGTCCAGAAGAGAGGACACAACGTCCTCAAGAGTAGCAAGCTGCTCGTTGCAACGGGCTGAGCGAATGGCTCGACGCGTCGGTAGTCGCGGCGGGGAAGGAGGGGTGGTCTGCGGAGGCGCAGACGGTACTGCGATAGAGGGCTGAGTACACTCTGTCGAGTCCTACGACACCTCAACTCCAGTAGCGAGAGGGGCAAAACGTGACGGAGATGTCGGAAAGCCCACTACTGAGGAGGGCGCATGTGTACACTGCACCGTGGCTAGGAGGCGCCGTGGGGACGTGAGGCGCCGGGGGGGGATTGAGCACGACGCTGACGAGAAAGGTCACCGTAGTGGCGGTCGAGGGCGGTAGTGTAAGGGCACCGCGAGGAGGTATGACCGTCCAAGCGGCAGCGCAAACACCCATGTCGGCCAAGAATAGCCGCGCGCTCCTCAGCGGAAAGGACACCGCGAGGAGGAACGAAGCCCTGAGGGAGGTCCTCCTGAGGGACCTCAGGGGGCGAGGAGCCAGCGTGACCGGGGCGGCTGTGTGCCAGAGAGAGAGCGGAGAGCGCGAGCAAAAGGCGCTTAGCTGCAGAGAGGGTAAAGTCCTCCAAGTGATAGTGGACGGCATTGCAAAAATCGAGGTCGTCGCTGTGGTCGCCCTCAGGTGACAGTGGGGCAACAGCGTCCTGCTCACCATACTCCAGTGCGCTGAAGCGGCGCGAGAAGTGGTGGCCCTGCTGCGTGGAACGGCGGGGGCGACCGCGGAAAGGGGAACGACGCTGGGATGTGCCGTGAGAGGAGGAGGAGGCGTAGCCCGTGTGCTGGGGTTGGGAGGAGGAGGCGGGGTGAAGACGGGCTCGCATCCGCTGGTGGTCCCTGGCAGCCTCGTAAGCCAGTGGGGCTGATGTGAACTCGTACTGCCATAGCTCGGAGCGGTACTCGAGCGGAAGGCTGGCCAAGAAGCGATCGATAAGGGCAGCCTCGGGGAGGAACGCCACGTCGCAAACGAGGCGAGTGTCCTGAAAGACCTGGATGTGGCGATCCAGGCCGACAGCGCCACCAGAGTCGGACCAGCGTGTAGTGACGACACGCTCGAAGGCGTCAGTCACGTCGTATCGGGAGAAGCGATCCTCGAGGAACGCCAGGAAATCCATGAAGGTCGGAGTCTGACCCTCACGAAGGGAGTAGGCATAGAAATCCTCCCAGGCCTCGAAAGGACCGCCACGCAGGCGCGTGGAGACGTGACCCACCCACGTCTCGGGTGTGGCGCCCATGAGCTGGAGTGTGCGGGTGGTAGACTGCAGCCACCGACACACGCGTATGCCTGTACCGTCATACAAGGCAATGTCCGACAAGCGGATGAGTGGTGCACCACCGTTTTGGTTGCGAGGGAATCGAGGAGCGGAGACCTGTGCCACGGCTGAGTAAGTCGGCGCAGGTCCTGGAGAAAGGGGCGCAGCCGACTGTGCCCCCGGGCCGCATGGGGGAGCGGCGGTGGCAACAGCGGTAGGCTGCAAGGGTGCTGCGGTGGAAAAGGTCGGAGCAACCGCGGGAGTAGGAAGAAGGTAGGAAGGAGTTGTATAGGGTGCAGGGCGAGGAAAGCGAGCCTGCATGGGAGGAAGGGTAGAGGAGGTAGGGGGTGCGCCCGAAGGCGCGGCCACCTATGAGGGTGGGGGTGGTTGAAGGCGTAAGAGGGCGAGGTCGGCCCGGAGCTGGGCAATCTCGTCCGCGAGACCTCGAGCGTAGGTCGATCGAGGGGTGGCAGGAGGAAGAGTGGAGGGGGTGAACGCATAAGCGGCGCGTGGCATCCCAGAGGGGGGAGAGCCAGGTGGCGCTGCGGTCGTGCGAAGGGGAGGGAGAAGCGGGGCACCCGGAAAAGCTGAGACCATGGTAGCGAGTTGTTGTACCGTGGCCGTAGTGACCGGGATCTGGACGGATGCGCCCGTAGACTGAGGGGGGGCCTGGCTCGTGGCGGCCGTCGTGCTAGGGGCGTGGACAATCACCAAGATGGTCGGGTCAGGGGCAACGGAGGAGGAAGCTCCGCCGTGGCCACCCTGTCGGATGACGGGGGACCCGGACTGGGAGCCAGGAGATGACGGACACACAGCGTCCTGGAGTTGCTGCATGCTGGCGACAAGGGTCGCCACCTGCGCCTGTAAGGACGCGAGGGTCGTGAGTTGCGCCTGGATGGCCGCAAGGGTCGCGAGTTACGCCTGGATGGGCGCAAGGAGGGAGGTGAGGAGGGTGTGTAGATCCCCCTAGGGCTGATGGCCCTGGTCCGCCGACACGGGTGTGGAGCCCGATGCCGTGGTCATTGCCGTGTCGGCGGCGTGTGACGCACCGTCGGCCATGGGGAGATGACGGACCGGACTGGAGGGGGCCAGAAGAGGTCCGCGTGAGCGGAGGGCGTAGGGAGAAGTCCGTGGTAGAAAGCGGCGAGCGGCGCTAGCAAGGCTGGCACGGGCGCCGTCAAAGGGGGAGGGGTGGTTCGGGTCCAGGGTGCCCGAAGAGGACGGGGAAGTAGAGGGGTTTTGAGGAACCCTAAACCCTACAAAACCCCTAAGAAAACCCTAACCGAGGTTTAAGTGGCTAGGGTAGGGTATCAGTGACCTAATCAAGAAAGTAAAATAGCAAGCATAGGGGGGTGGAGACGGGAGAAAAATAAATAAACAGCGAGATTTCGAGAGAAAATAAAAATAAATAAGAAAATAAATAAATAATAAAAATAAGTAAAGAAATAAGTAAAGAGATGTGAAGGGAAACAATATTTATTTATTTTTTTGAAATTTTCGGCAGCATTTTCCTACCCCACACGGGGTCAAGAATGTGCAAAGGGAAAAGGAGAGACCAAGGTGAGCACACTAGAGATGCCGCAAATAAATAAAAAAAAGGAAATTTCAGAAAATAAATAAATAATAAATAAATAAATAAATAAATAAGTAAATAAGTGTGAGAGGAGGTGGGGAGAAATGGGTTATCTGATTTTTCAAAAATTTTGGCAGCATTTCGTTACCCCCATGGGGTCGAAGTGTGCCGAAAAGACTAAGTAAGAGAAAATCAGAAAATTTTGGCAGCACTTCGTTACCCCCACGGGGTCAAAACGTGTGTGCCGAAAGCAAGAAAGGCTAACACCTAATCAGATTTAGGGTTGCCGCCAAGAAATTCGAATTTTCAGGATAAATAAAGATAAATAAAATAAATCAGAAAATAAGAAAAGAGGGTGGGAAAGAAGAGAT